TWAYKMRCSSKCYGTCWGTSWSTSTCWMTYYYTTGAATAATAATAGAGGAAAAGTGCGCAGCAAKAATTTMTCCCGTATAATTAAAACAATAGCAGCATCAAAGTTAAAAATYCTATTTAAAATGAGATAATTTTGYCGCCAAAATTATTTGCCGCCACCGTCGGCATGTTAAACTCACCCAGAGACCAACAACCCAACTTCTGACACGTAAACTGGGGCAAATTTAACTGTATTTATAGATGATTTGGAGCCCCGAAATACAAATATAGGATCTGGAGCTTGTCTGGATTCCATTAAGRCCATCTATGATTATATCCAAGATGAAAATGAACCAGACTTTAATACAGCAAACGTCCTTAGCATATTGCCAGGCGTTCCTTCGCCTGCCGAGGAGAGACTAGAATCCAAAATCCAAAGGAAACCCATATGGGATCAATGGGATCGAAAACAAAATAAGAAGTAATTTTTGCAAATCGCAATTATTGACAAATTAATGGTAAATATGTAAAAGATTAAAATAAGATTTAATTTATACCTTTTGCTGCTAAATGTTSGTATTTTCTTGAGAAAAATAGTTGTATTGTGCTGATTGGGTGCTGGGTTTCCTGTGTGTTATGAGTCAACTTGGTTCGATATGCTGGTTCGATACACGACAATAAAATTGTTTTCATGGGTGGACAACAAACTCCTTTGACGTAAGGACAATAATACAGAAATCATAGCTTTAATAATTTAGCATTTTTAGGACTTCTTGATTTTTTTCTGTTTGAAAATGACATGTTTTCTAAGCGATGCTGTATGCACTCGTCACGAATTGAACCAGAAACCTACTCGCGTGGATAGCACCATTGAACCATGTTGATGCGTTGTCTGCGTGTTATCCAAAGTACGAGTAAGCATTGAAACTTGTATGGGTAAAGGAAAACTTACAAAATTATGGCAGAYTCAGAAGAAACGTTGTTGAAAAATGATGTCGCCATTATCGAAAGAAACGATTTGATCCCWCAACGGCAGGTCATGAAAAGAGCTCGAAACGTGAACGGTTTCGAAGAAAAGCCGACAGATGAGAARCGCAAAAAAGAGACATTTTCTGATGATGTGGACGAAATACAGCTGAGAGACAAGTTACTGGATGAAATATCTTCAAATAAATTGTGTTTGGATTCTGACAGCATGATTCACGATGTTACTGAATTTGAACATGGCGGCAGTAATGAAAGTCAACAAGCACAGAATCGAAAGATTATCAAGTGTAAGTTTCTTGATTCATATCACAAGTTTTGAAATGCTAATACATTGTAACTACATGTTGACTTTAGTTTAGTCTATCTACAAGATATAATACAGTACATTTGAGTCTACAATGTAGTTTCAACTCGATAATAATGTAACAATTAAGCTTAAATAACTTCAAATAATCTGGTTTGTCCATAAAGGGTAATTTTAGAAAGAAAAGTCATTTTTCAGGGGTTATGCACTTTAAAAGGTCCTGGACATATAGACACTTCATTTTTCATTAACCGAAATTCTCAAAAAATGATACCCTCTATGGACAAACCAGATTATTTGAAGTTTTACTACCTAGTAATATGAGTTCATGTTACCTATAAACTTCACCCCTCACCCCCAAAGAGTTTGGTTTACGTGACCAAACAAAAGGACASCTGCTGCTACCAGATGTGCAAACTAGAAGGGTGGAGAAAGTCAYCAAGTCTTAGCATTAGYTTGTGTGGATTTTATCAGCTGGATAAGGATTTAACTGGTGGATGATGCTAGTCACCCTTCATACATGTACAACTGGTCCCAGATGTTGACAACTCCTCCCATTGGATGTATAGTCCCTTTATATCGGTGCCACATCTAGATTTCCAAGAAATAGTAGCTATTTCAAAAAGGTTGTCAGTTGTTGACATTCACAATAACCATCCTTGTTGTATATGATACATGTAAGAGGTTCCAGGATTGGGKGGGGGGGGGGGGGGGGGGGGGTACTCCCCTATATTCGCCATACGGGGATCGTTTTCTGCGATTTTACTCTGGAACAGGCTATCGTTTTTAGCGATTTTACTCTTGAACTGGGTATTTTTTTAAGCGATTTTACTCTGGAACAGGGTATAGTTTTCAGCGATTTTACTCTGGAACAGGGTATAGTTTTCAGCTATTTTACTCTGGAACAGGGTATAGTTTTCAGCGATTTCACTCTGGAACAGGGTCAGGGTTTTGAGGTCCCAGCGATTTTACTCTGGAACAGGGTATAGTTTTCAGCGATTTCACTCTGGAACAGGGTCAGGGTTTTGAGGTCCCAACAGCACGACCCCACCCAAGTTTTGAGGGAGCAATAAACAATGAACTCGGTTCTAGATTAAGAAATAGTAGCAATAAACAATTAAACTCATGAAGTTTAGAAGATGTATACTTTTAATTATAGTGGAAGGGGTTTTGCCAAACCTRGCACTACCGGATGGATGGATAGCTCTCAACCATAGGAGTGGTGGAATTGTCTATCTTCATCGATCAACAAGAGTTTGTACCTGGGGACGACCATATTACATCGGTAAAGGAAGTGTCAGGGTAAGAATTCTTGATATTCATCTTTTATGTACAGCAAATTAATCTTGAAAGCATGTGATATACAGGAAAACCCAGTGTGTACAAAACCCTAGATTTTTCCAAGCTAACCTGAACAGGTGCTTAACTTGAAATCAGGCTCTCTTGTTCTTAAGACCATTCTGAATTATTGCATTGCACATGCTCTATTGCACTAAATTTTTGGACAGTGATAGCGTGCACCAATAGCTTAGGCCAACCTAGCGTGCACCATGTTGCCTTTTTATATTCCTCATTATGTAAGGAAAAAGCAAAACATGTATCTGAGTTTGAAAAGAAATCTCAAGCCGATTTTGAGATCTAAGAAATTGTAGTGAAAACTTATAATTGCTCTATATAGCTAATTCAGTCAGAAACTTTGAGTTTTTGTGATGTCCATCTAAAAAGTATTTAATTGTACACATTTTCATTGAGGATTTAGGAGTGGTACTAGGGAATGGCCTAAAATTGGGTTAATTTTTGGTAAGAAAAGTATACGTAGCAGTACTTGAAAATGGAAACTGTTTGGTCTTTGCGTCTGAGAATCTGCTGTCAAATAAGACAAGTTCATTCTAATGCAACAATCCATTTATAAAGGGGAAAGAAATTAAACGTTAAAATTCTATTAAGACTTTGCTAATATATATTCACAAAACTGGGGGTGTTTCTGGAGAAAACCAGTTGTCAAGAATATTATTCAATAACCTCTTCTTTTCTTCTGTAGAAACATGATGTTCCTGTTGCTGCAATTCCTTGCCTGCATCAAGCAAAAGCACTTGCAAACAAATCACAAAAAACAAACAAACCTTCAAATGAGATCCCACTTGATGTTGATCACCAGCCTGGCCAGGGTCAGGGTTTATCAATTCTTAACTTTCTYAATACTGCAGGGTCTATTGAAGGTGAAACACAKCTTGYGGCTGCTCATTATGAAGCATTTCAAAGCCATAAACCAACTATTGAAAAAGCTGCCGATGGAAATGTTAAATCTGGTCTTTCAATGGAAGTAGTTAATGATTATAATAAAGAAGAAATATGCAACACTTTTGAATCAAATTCATTACAAGAAAATGGTAATTATCATATTTTTAAAAAGCTGAATATAGTTAATGAAGATAGCAGTGAGAAAAACCAAGTTTATTGCACTGTGAAGAATGAAAATGAAGATGTCGATGATTGTCAAGTCAAGAATGTAGATGGTGGTCATGGTGTTAGTTATCGTACAAGTAATATATGTCCYTGTGAAGATAGATATGATAATATATTTCATCCTAAGGATGGACTTGATGTTGTYAATGAGACACTTAACTATGGAGGAAAGGAACTAAAGAAAGATGATGAAATGAATTCTGCAAGTAGTAATGTTCCCATTCCCAGCATCGAGCTGATGTCTCCAGAACATTTGCAAAGCATAAACTTGAAAAGCACTCAAAGTGATCAAGTTAATCATGAAAATTTAAAAATTCCAAGTTTACAAAGTGTTAGCCTCAAAGGCAGTAGAAAAGMAATACATGAAAACAAAGAAATATTTTACAATGGAACCAGTGCAGAGGATGAACATTCTCTAGATGCGCAGACAACATCTGATGATAATTTTAAAAAGAACCCGAACTTKCCAAAAACTACCCATCAAACTTCAGGAATCGAACTTATAGATGCTGAAGAGCTGAGCTCTTACCTTGGCAAGTTGTTTGATTTCAAAAAGATTACAATAGACCAAGAAAAGAATGTAGTGAAGCCCTCAGAGGCAGTCATGGAAGAAGCTGATCCAGTTTTGTCAGTACTAGAATGCCTACCTTACTGCGTCAAGGGTAAAARTGCCAAAGAAAATAAAGAATGGGTTTTAAATCCAGGTGGAAAAACKCCAGTAGCGATATTGCATGAGTATTCCCAAGCTGTTCTTAAAGAAAAACCTGTTTATGTCTCTACTGAGTGTGAAAATTCTTCCACTCCTTTCATGGCTGAGGTTCAGATCAACGGGATTACMCACGGCAGTGGTATGGCATCCACTAAAAAGCAAGCCAAACAGATCGCYGCAGAAGTCGCATTGGAAGTGTTGCTGCCTCATGCCTTTCATAAAATACGAGATTATGTCATCTCTAGAGAGGAATTAGAGGTAGGATAATTGTCCTGCTAGGTGGCAAAATGAGCTTCTCTTATGCAAGTCACAATGCAAATAATTCAGAAGGAAATGTCCGGCAGTAATTCCTTTTATTAGGTAAACGTTGCGCCAGGTTGTAAAACGTACAGAAGATACATAGCAAAGCACCAACGTTTTTTCACGAACACAATTATTAATTTTTGGGCCTAAACTAGAATTCCACTGCTGGAAACACTCGATGAGGGTTGTGGAAATGTACATCGCAGTGTTGCAAATTTGCCCTGGAATTATTACATTTATGTTTGCTATGCACTGATTATTTCATCTGTTTTGCAGTGTTTTGATAAGTTGAAAATCGACAATCCTAATATCCACGAGCTGTCAATTAAATCTGGTCTTCCTAGYCCTTCACAGGTTTTACAAGAATGTTTGAAAAGGTAAAACGCAGTTTGTTATAGATAGACGGACGTTTCCAGAAGTACATAACCAGAATGGTTATGTACTTCTGACGTTTCTAATAGACGTCATTCATGTGAGCCTTGTTTTCCACGCTCGATGTCAAATTTGCCATTCAGTCATAATTGACATCAAGGGAGTGAAAGGTTGTGTTATTCATATAAAAAAATCTATAAATCAATCAGGGATTGAGTTTGTGAAGCAGAGTACATGCATACAGGTCGTATTAAGTAAAGTAAAGACCTTTACCTAAACCAAGCAAATTGCAACGTAGAGAAACTCTAGCAAGTACAATTGCTTCTATTGTTCCTTCCTCCAACATGGCCGCCGGTCTTTTCTTTGATCTTTAATTTTCTTTCGGTCGTCAAAAAAGGAGAAAAAGAAAGAAAGAAAGAAAAAAAACCCAACTCAACAACAACAACAGCTACATAACTTTAACCCACTTCATATTTATGATTTTTTTTTCATTAGAAATCAAGGTGTTTGCTCATCTACTATCCACTTCAAGATGATTCCCGGTCAAAATCAAGAACACACATTTATAATATCATGTGGAAAACACCAAGCAGAGGTATGGAATAATCTTTCTCGATTGTTAGATCTTTTGAACCAACATATAGCTATTTCAAAAAAGGTTGTCGGATAAAATGGCGAATGTCAATTGTCGAATGGCGATTGCACGACCGAAAGTAGCCATGGGTTTTGCTAGTTGAAAGGCAATAAGAAATGATTTATACTGTAAGATGGTCTGTGGTAAACATTGGCTCCATTTATTCTCCATTTCTATGTAAGGTGAATCCAATAAGTGAAATTTTGTTTATCAAAACAGTGTAACCATAGTCCCTTTCGGTCGTGCAATCTCCCTTCGACAATTGCCGTTCGCCGTTCGCCCGACAACGTTTTTTGAAATAGCTGTATACATTATAACAGCAGCGTGTAGTGTTCTGTAATAACGCAATCTTGTAATGATTTCAGATTAAATTTAGATTTAAGCTTTAAACTGATTTAGTAGCTTTTGGTACTTGAAAGTGATGTAATAATTACATTTTCAAATCTTTGGAATATCATGAATACTATTAAAAAGTGGAAAGAGCAATGCGGTAAGAAGGAATATAATTCTTGAAATATCACTATATATGATAAGATGTGCTTTCTTCATCCAAGGGGCCATGCAAGAATAAGAGRATTGGAAAGCAGGTGGCATCTCAGGCCCTGCTTATGGTATGTTGATGATGATTAACCAGCTATAACATGMCAGTKGAATGGTTCTGCTGTACACTGCGMCRTGCGCAATTCATTTAACTTKTTCTTTTGTGTTATTAAGAAACTACACCCACATATATCAACATGGGGATCGCTGTTGAGGATTTACTGCGATAGACCCTCTTCTATTGTGAAAAAGGTGCGATTATATAAAGTATACTTAACAAAWTTTAAACGGACGCTTTTCTCCTTTATATGAACACGCTAGAAGATAGGACAAGAGAAGCATATCTAGAACTGGACCCTCTTAGCTTTTATCCTTGCGCGCGCGGAATTAAMATTATTCAAATCACTTGAATTTGCACTAAAAACGGCTGCAAGGGAGGCGGCAGTCACGTTACAACGCTAGTAATATGAATGTGTATTACAGCTATTTCAGCAGTAAAACGGGGAGTACTGAAGATAGTGTATTTTAACCCCGAAAAGTATTGTTGGCCTTCGCATCACCGCTCTATAAAAGACTTGCGCTATTTAAAAATTATTTTGCCAGTTCTGTGTCTTCAAGTATATCCTTGCGCGCGCGGAATTAAAATTATTCATATCACTTGAATTTGCACTAAAAACAGCTGCAAGGGAGGCGGCAGTCACGTTACAACGCTAGTAATATGAATGTGTATTACAGCTATTTCAGCAGTAAAACGGGGTGTACTGAAGATAGTGTATTTTAACCCCGAAAAGTATTGTTGGCCTTCGCATCACCGCTCTATAAAAGACTTGCGCTATTTAAAAATTATTTTGCCAGTTCTGTGTCTTCAAGTATGTAAGAGATTAATTGTGAAATTGTAATGCCGCTTACGTGAAATGCTTTTCTGTCTTGGAATACTCTATGGCAGTATTTCAGTATTCAAAGTTTTTTGAAATAGCTGTATGGCTATGGATGCTCTGTTTACTGACRCATTATATTTTCCAATTTCAAAAAAGTATAAGACGCCAGACTATGATAGTTTATCAAACTGCATTTCTACACCTGATGTCCCGAGAGGAAAACTTCTACTCGCTCGATTGAAAGAAGAAATGCTGAAAATTGCTGATGATGTAAGTATTTTCTACTATCGAAAATCCAAGATATTCTCCCTTGAAAACTACGTCTAAGTGGTCTACGGAAACTATGGCGTATGTTTTAGCGTTCAAATACCGTTCRACAATTCCACCAGTAAGGAGAAAGGATGAATAGAATTTTGCTTTTATGTTTTKGTAGGTAAATCAAGAATCGAAGTATTCTAGATCAAGTGACGATACTGGCTCAATTAGCACTGTCGATATTTAAACTATTTCACAACAATGCTCTATTTAAAACGAATTTTTAGAATCACGTCAATGTACGTAATAATAATTAGCTAGTAAATTCTGCGTTAATTACTCTTTTTAATCAATTAAATTCTTCAATTAATTATAAATTACGGCATGTAGGTAGATAACATATTACTACAGAATCAAATGGAATCAAATGCATGCATTTTACTAAAAATGGTGGTAATTCCACAGAACTAATAAATAATTTTTTATGTCTAACGCATTTGATTGATATCCATTCCTTCACAAATGTCGTTSGCTTACTAAAAAGGTCAAAGCTGAGATGTTTCCTATTCGATCACTAATTTTATTTTACGCCTATGCATTTAGTCCAAATATATTCAACGATCACAGAACGCACACATGGGCTTCCTGTGGCAATATGAATAATGATAGCAATCAGTGGCGGATCCAGGGGGGTTCCATGGGTTCCTAGGAACCCTCCTCGAGCATAAAGAATAAAAATAAAATGAATGATAAATGAAATAAAATGAAAACGCATCGTACACAATTGCATCCGAGAAGAATGAACGTGGCTTATATCTTACAATAGGTAAGAGGCTTTATATTACACTTTTACCACATGGCTGCAATGTACGCACACACTGAACTGTAAAGCGTTTTGAGACTTAAGAGATGCRCTATCTATAACTGCATTCACGTTACATTTGCTACAGTTTGAGAGGCACAGTAAAAGTGTTCGTTTTAGGAAAATGCGAAAGCAAATTGGAAGCCTCCTTTAAAAAATCCTGTATCCGCCACTGGCAATAGTCATTTCTAGCCTAAGGCAGTCATCAGGGGTGTTTGGAAATTTATGAACAAGATATATACATGTCTTCCACGTGCAGATCGAGGCTTGCGATAAGTGGGTACGTATGCATGTTTTTTTAGCTGCAGGGAAAATGAATTTTGTACATTGTATTTATAAACTACTCTTTAAAAAGGCTGTCTTCACATGATTTATATCTTTGATGATTAGTTTTGGTGTACGCTAAAGATCAATTGGTGTGTCGGGGTGTGCTGGAATAGTCGCATGCCTGTAAATTGGTAAAAGTAATGGTCAGTAACAAACTTTGATGAATCTAAATCACAAAATCTTTATCTTTACGAGTTCATAGGCACACTTCACAAACATAGATCACTACAATTTACGATAAGAGTGACAAAAAAAATTTCCCTTGGCTATTCCTTCTTTGGATATCCTCGGGTCAGCTCAAAAGACTGGGTGTCACCAGGTTGCTGGTTGCATTTATTGTGCAGCGACGCCATTTTGTGCTCCAAAGCAGGATTGTAGTTGTAGTCCTCGTACTTATTATAGACTAAAATATCTCCTTTAAAGTCCTTTTTTCGCTTTTTTTGTAGAAACKGTAAAACATCTATTTTGGCTTAGAAAAAGCAAAAATATTTCAGAAGGACTGTTTTAGCAGACATGACAAAAACACGAGGACTACAACTACCATAATGCTTTGCTGATGATTTAAAATGGCGCGTCGCTTCACATTGCTTATTTGRGAAATATGAGCCATACGGCAGATCCCACAAAATTCATGATAATACAGATCATCTCAAGGACACAACAATGATTTCCAGCTCCCCCACAAAATTGAAATCTTTGTTTGTTTTTCTYCAGGTGAAGCTGCTTTGATGTCACATTCATGGGTTTATACTTTTTTCCCTCACATCCTAATTAATTTGATGATCAAACTGCCTGAATGTATAGAAAATCTGCATGTAAAAGAGGCAAACTACTTCAATACGCTACACACGTAGTCAAGAGAGTAAAATGCAACATCGAAACAAACGTTGGTTAGCACTAGTTAACATCATGGTAGATATGATGGTGTCACTTTAACAGAATATTTCTCATTTTTTCTATATTGGTCATAATATGTACTAGCTAGTGTACCACAAATTTGTCTGGCACAATTATATCAATATGAAGGAAATAAATTGARAAGAAGCATTTATTGTAATACTTGCCTGTGGCAACAATATACAGCGAGCAGGACAGTCATTACAAATAATATGATAAATGCAATTCCAACTATAAACCATTGGTCTACAAGAAAAGAATTGAATATTGAATTGAAAATTGTAATATAATAACGCCTTAATTATGGTGCATTAAAATGTACGTTATCAATAAAAAAGGACAAATCAAGCGCGAGCGTGCGGTTAGCCAATCAAAAGAAAGCGCGGGAATCGCACGCTCGCGGCTTTTCCGGCTTGTTTGTCCATAGGCCGCCCAACTATTACATTAGAGACAAAAAACCACAAATATTAGATTAAATTGTTTGATTGTCACTATCACTTCATGAAAAGAATCTTGCTTCGTAACTCAGACACTTAGGACACAGAATATATATGCCCCCTCCCCCTCGACTTTCAAAATGTTTGAATCCGCACCTGACTAAATGCCTACCTGATGGACAGGAACGCCTTGGGGACGGTCGGTTATCGCAAGTGTTGCTGACAGTAGAAGTGTTGACTGTTGAGGGAGACTTTGGAATTCTGGACAACCTGAAAGGTTATCAAAAGTTATTGAAAAAATAATCGTTATAGTCATCTTATAATAATGCCTTCTATTTTCTAAATAAATGAAAAAAAATGATCAAAAGTTATAAAACTGCTGGCGCCGATAAATAGTATATATGTTGCAAGAAATGACAACCAGTTGAAAGCCATGAAAAATATAGTCAAGGAAAAAGTCATGAGATTTCCCGGCTTTCCAATAGCAGCCGAGCAAGAGTACGAACCCTGTGCATGGGACTGAAGGTGTGGCTGTTGTGGTAGCTGGTAGTGAACTCGAAGATTCAGGTCTTACACATCTGAATTTTCCAATAGTGGAACTATCTTTGCATTTTGGGTCATTATAGCGCTCTGAAATTTAATAGTAACTCAAACATGTTATAAAAGTCGGCTGAGTTTATATATAATATGATATTATTTGCATCCTTTCTTAAAAAAGATGCTTATTGGCTGAGTAAGGTTGGYCCGCACAAGAAAACACTTGTCGGTCTATGGGCAATTGTATCGGTTAAATGTATGACATGAACTTGATACAAATAGTTCTCGTAAGGTCCTACCAGGCTCATCCAATAATCACGGMCACACTTACCATTTGTTCCACAAACATAGACTCTGAACTTCATGCGTATCTCGTTATCACCATCATTGTTGCAGTGACCTCCACTAGTCTTGTCAAGTGAACTTTKACCTCCATCAGATGTGGCTTTGGATAATAAAGCAAAATTGAAATTCTTAAATTGAGATCCTCCGTTGAAAGGGAAGTACCTGTAACTCATTGTCMAACGGCATAATTACTAGCTTACCCAAAAAGAAATACGTCGTATTGGGCTCAAAGTAAAAATATTTGGACACAGGACTGTCTTCTTTGAAGTCAATACGATAGAAATAATTTGTCAGTTTATCGGGGGTATCGCATTTATACAGTAATTTGTTCTTTAGCTTTTCTCTCCCYCCACCAAATGTTGCTGTTAAATTGACGTTACATGTTTTATAGCTTTCCTCGTCATAAACAATCCACAGGTTTTCATACAGTACACCTGAAGATGGTTGACTTTCCATGGTTTGCATGATAAGGTTTTCAAAGGGACAAATAATTGGTAGCACATCTTTTAATCTAACGCTCATCTCGAGTTCTCCACCATAGCAAAAACTTTGAAGACTGTTGTCTTTTTTGTTATGATTCTGAAAACTGATACAATATTGTAGCATTATTAGAAAAAWTATGTWTTTCAACGCTCGCCAAAGACAGTCAAATCAATGACATSATATAGCAGTCTCTATATTTTAACTATGATGGCATTAATTTGACTGCAACTGTTGTAGTCTTCAAAGGAATCATAAGGATCTAGAAATAAATTCGAAACAACCAACGAAAAAAGTATTTTAATGAGTTATATGATATTAAGTTTGTTTAGTCATATCAAGCCAGGGTAATTATAAATTACGCCATACATTTCATCAGCCCTTACTGTGGACAAATGGATCAGGACTAGATTACGAGCTGATAGCCCATTAGGCTAAATGGGCCATCAGTTTTTAGTATAAACATACTAATGGTCTATCACTCATACTGCGCTGTGATTGGCTACTCTACTAATGGTCTAATTTGTGATAGACCACTCGCGGGAAAATCAAAACGGCGGCATCTCATTAATAAATTATTTCATGTTAATTTCTATTTTTTTCATTATTTGACCGATTAGTATGTTTATACTAAAACAATTAGACCTCTCGGCCTCGTGGACTACGAGCTATAGCCCATTCGGCCTCGCGGACTCGGCCTCATGGGCTATTAGCTAGTAGTCCACTCGACCTCGAGGTCTAATTGTTAAGTAGTCAACGAGGCCGAGAGTCTTATAGTTTTGGTACTAGTCAGACAAAAAAAAAAAAGGAATGAAACATAAAAACAACAAAATGTTCTTATTGCTAAAAATTAGCATTTGCGGCTTTAATTAAATTTGCATAAATTATCTACGACGTCGATTGGCATACCTGGCATGTTTGACAAGGGAAAATTAATTCACTACTATACACGGTGGCAGTAAAATACGGAAAAGATAATCAAAGTAATCGAGGACTATTAGGATTATTGAAAATAGACCCCGAGTAGCGGAGCCAATCAGGATTTGCATTAGTCCGCTAGTATTGTAATACTAAAAGGCAATAGTAGCCTCGACGGCCTNAACCTTAACATCTATTTCACCCCGACCTGCTCCCAGTCTGGCCTTGTAGCTCAGCTGGTAGAGCATCGGTGTACAAATCCGAAGGTCGTGGGTTCGAATCCCAGCGAGGTCGGAAATTAATTTTTCCGAATTTATTCCTAAGGGACTTCTCCCGGAATTGCCTCCTTCTAAGCACTATAACTTTCTTTCATTTCTATATCGTGTTTATCATAGTGCCATGCGGTCTTCATATTCATATCTTTACATTATTCTATTACCGCAACCTTAACATCTATTTCACCCCGACCTGCTCCCAGTCTGGCCTTGTAGCTCAGCTGGTAGAGCATCGGTGTACAAATCCGAAGGTCGTGGGTTCGAATCCCAGCGAGGTCGGAAATTAATTTTTCCGAATTTATTCCTAAGGGACTTCTCCCGGAATTGCCTCCTTCTAAGCACTATAACTTTCTTTCATTTCTATATCGTGTCATTAAAAAATACCGGTGAGAGAGAATGACTAATATATTACTCATGTACACACAAGCATTTTGCAGTGCTACTCATTAACGTAGAACATACCAGCCGTTTAGACGCGATGTTCGAAACTCAAAGACTATACCTTTCGAAACCTTTAGAGGTAAAGGATTTGAAACAACACAATCGGGTTCGACAAAGCTAAGACCGAAAGGGGGAATCAAATAATACGTGTACATGTTTCAAAAGATAATAGTCATACAAAAAATAACAAACAGTTTAAAAAACAATATGCGACAGAGGTTGGGAGAAGGAAAAAAAGTGAATGGAAACTTCTCCCTCCCCTCTATCAAATATCAAAGTTACGTCCCTAGTAATTACAGTACATGCAGATAGTAGCAGAAGAAATAGTTGGAGAGTCTGTCAATGGTCTGGACCATCATAGGTGTGTGTGTAAGGGGGGNACAGTTCTAGATTATTACTAATAACTAAATCATTTTCCATGACTGAATGGCTAACCTGGGGCCACAGTTTAGAGTCAGATCCTATCCTATATCTGGGGATCAAAAACCTTGCACATAAATGGCGTCTGGGACAAAATTACCGCCTCGATGAGATATCGTTATCGATGTACAATTCCGTTTCCTGTAGAGCATTAGGAAGATGAATTCCCGTGGGTTGTAAAGAAAAATTACCAACACACAATCGACTAATCCTAGATCAGATAATACGGTTGTGATGCCTGTTATACAAATAACACACAGGTTGTCAGAGATGTGGTTTATATAGTGAAATCTATATATTTCTTAATAAAATCCACACAAATATCTAGGAAATCTGTGCTAAAACCAATGAAAGGTGTAAAMGATTCTCAGAAATCTCTATAACGTTAGAATGATCATTAAAGAAMACTCTGATGTATTATTCTAAGCATTCATGCAATATTACTTACTAAGGATTATTTGTGGTCCACATAACCGACTTGTAGATGTCAGAAGAAACCAACGTCCATGTTGTTAGAAGAAAACTTATCTGTAATAAACAGTTCGCCATTGTGATTGAGTTTCGGCGAAATGCTACGGTYGAGAAACGTCCAAAATGATCTTAATTAGATATCTCTACAATATCTTTACAAAGTTTTTTTGTTTTGTATTGAAACCCACAAATGTTAATTCACTATACATGCACCTTCAGCTGCTGTTGACAAGACTCGTCTGAGCTATGAACCCTTGGTAGTTAATCGGGTCACGCGACATTAATGTGAACAAACATGTAGTCTCGTTGTGTATAAATATGCGGTATCATTGGGATGGCTTCAGCAGTGATAAAGTTAGGTTTTGTGGACTTCGTCCGGTGTATCTTGGATGTTATATATTTGATCGTGAAATGTTTATGGCCTTTAGTCACGAGAAGAAACTGAAACGGAAAAAAAGAAAAGAAAAACCTCAAAAACTATCAAAAAAGCCCTCAGCGGAAGGTAGGTCACCTGATGGATTTCAAACACAACATATCTATTAACTAGTATTTGGYGTCATAAATACAGTCATTTGCAAACATAACGTCTGACATATATCATTATATCACGTTGCATCATGGGTATTTCATGTGTGATTTTCGCTCTTTTCTCTCAAAACAGATCGAAAAATTCGATTGCTTATGGAATTATGTTTATCAAAGATTACTCATTGAGTAGCAATGACAAGCATAATCTGTAGTATTATAACAGATTTTAATTAAAATGGTTATTTAATGTAGAAATTTGACATTTCAGCAASCATATATATTTGTGTAATCAGTTRGTGTTCCCAGAATTTTTTTAGCTTTCCGGMCAGTACCACAGTTTTGCAATAACATGACGATATTACAAGGTACATTCTGTTTCAATAGTAAATATAATTTTTCGATTTATAGCATAATTAGGATCATTTTCGCGCAATTTGTATCGCGGCAACATTAATACACTAAATTCAGGTATAAACCGCTCCTTTGTAAATATACACACCCTAAAAGACCTTNGAAAATGCCACGCTTTCCCGTGATTTGCAAAGATACGTAAACATAAATCCCGCATTCCGTTCCCAAGTTTTGCCGTATCCTGGTCCCAGTAGAACAGTCAAATCCCGGATTCCCGTCAATATATTGGGTTTTTTCCCATTCCCGCCCGGCCCCCCGAAAATACCCTTCCAGACCCTGATCGTCATTAAGCTAGCAATATTCTTTTTCAGTCATTGTTTAACAGTTACTTTTTTTGATATATGTACACATTGTGCAACTTTTTGCATGGTTGGCGACTGGTTGCCAAATAAATAGCTTGGCGGCTTGCCTTTTTGTGTTTTTTTTTTTTTAAATCCCCGGGCTGAACTGATCGAGAGAGTACCCTTTCTGTTTTGCGACTTATAATTAACTCTTACCAAATATTTAGTTTTAGGTGCCAATTAGTTGCAGTTAGAGTTATCCATAATTAAACAGAAAAAATATTAAGTCTGTTTTAGTAAAATATATGGATCGACGTTTTCCCTCACTTCCTTCAAAGCGGAAACTCACTGATTTACCGATAGATATATTTGTTCAATGTGATCCATTTTTTATATTAACATCCTGTGGCTTTGAGTACTTACTACGAGTTAATACGCTAAAAGATTTTTAAAGCTTTCTACTGTATTTTTTTTGGATCCGACTACGATTTTAGTAGGCGGTTGCTAGGCACCCTTGAACGCTTATTCGTAGTGCGCTTGCGCAGGAAGAAAGCGCGCCTGACCTGAACACATAATCTTGTAATTTATCCCAATGTTTGCGTTGAAARCTGTCATTGAAAGGGTTTTTCATCTTATCGGTTTACATTGAYTGCAGCTGAGCTATCATATTCTCAGAATGCATCTTGTCCAAGGTCCAATGTCAACGACTTCTACCCCAAGAGAGCCACTCGTGCCGGAGACTTCACCAGACGAGGWGATGGCGCCGTCGAGTGAGGGAAACCTAAAGATTTTGAACATCATGTGAGCTTTGYCCACTACTACATKTTTARTAGARAAGAAGATGAACTGATTGATGATTTTTCTGTTTAYTGTTCTTTCAGAGAGACGAATTCAGAAGTTATGTGCTGTCGTTTTAGTATAGATGGAGGYTTGCTCGCAGTTGGACTAGCAAGTGGAATAATTAAAGTAAAGCTCATTTACAGTACAAGAAACTTACTTGTTTTTTATTTAAAAAATATTTCTTTTCCATTTAAGGAACTTCCAAATAATCATAGCTAGTTTAGGTAGATATTATACTAGATTTGCTTGTTATTCGTGATCTTTTATGAAGTTGTACTCAAACTTGTACTGAACACTTCTCTTTGCATTCAGGTTTATTCTCCAGACACTGGCCGAAGCATTTATAATCTTTCAGATCAAGACACRCTCAAAAGTCGCCTTCCAGTGACTTGCATTCGATGGAAAGCTGTTTCTGAAGGCGAAGATTGGGCAAACGTTTTGATAGCAACATGTAAGTATAAACAACAACASCATGTACCCATACAAAAAATATTGTAAACTTCAYTCGTAAACTTCACTGAGTCGTAATTTGTACAAAAATTAATTATCATTTTGATTTATATCATTCCTCATTATCACCCCATAAAATAATCTTATAATTGATGGTAAAAGTTTTCCGATTCTCTTCTTTTTCAGAAAAATAAAAATATAACAAAAAGGAAAGCAAAAACATAATTATTTTTTTATGCTGTGAATGCAATAGAAGTGAGTGAGTGGGTGGCTGAATGAATGAAAGATGCTAAATTAGATTCCTGTTTTATATTAAATTCATTTCCTCTTTCTTAAAAGATATAGAGGGAACAAACAATAGATTTTTTCCTTGCTTTGGTCCCACTTGATGCAAATGATCTCTTATTGTTTTTGACCTGCATTAAAGAGAAACACTTTTTAACCTTTTCATTCTAAAAAAGCAAAATACCTGCTGTGGATCATTAAAGTTATATATTCAGCAGAGAGGGTCACAGCATACAAAAGTAAGCTGCACTTTGTGTTMAAAAAGCAAAAAACAAAATGCAAACAATAAAGATTGACATGCCTTGAGGGCCTCTGTTCTATCCTTGAAGATTAATAAATGCAGTTTGCAGCAAGATCAAATTTATAGAGTTAAATGTCTAGGTGATTCCTTAAATCTCTTGAGAATTGTCTTACTAGTTATAGGAAAGCAATACATCAAACAAGTTGTGTGTGATGTGCAGTTTTGACATACAGCATTGATGATTTTTGGTTGAACTAACAGCCTTGTGCTTATTGAGTGTTCTTAACTGCTTTAAAAATAATTGATCGTCATGTGTATGCTTTATTTGTACCTTCTTTTGCTAATATGTTTCTTGTTAAAAATTGCTCTTTTCTCCTGCTTCTCAAAATAGTTGTTTCCCTATTCTTTTAAAAATTGTAAATATTTTGGCTGTGAGAATGAATAAAATCTATAATTTTTAAGCAAGTCTTAGAGCAGAAAGATGAGAGTGTGAGGAAACAATTATCTTGAAAGGTGCTACTTTGCTAATGAGCTCTTGAAAAAACTTTTTCATAATTKATTAGTTCATATTTTGTCTTTGAAGTTTATGGATGTCGTGTAGTTGAGGAAACACTCAATCTCATTTTGAAGGCATTTCTAGTGGACATTTGAAGGAGGCTTCTTATTACTAACTTCTAATATTTTCTAGTTAAAATAAGACAAAATTTTTAATGACTTGACTTATTTGATATTTCATAGATGCAGATGGTCGTGTGAAGCATTGGCATGTCACAACAAGCACTTGTTTGTCAACAATTCTTGAACCTAAACGTCAAACACTAGCYTGTTCATTTAATGAATCTGTYAGTCAGTTTGTTACTTCTGGCTCTGATACCAAGTTAATGGTATATGATGAAAAAACTAAGCAAATTATTACCACATTAGAGCCAAGGTATGAATTAAACACATATGATAATTCCATATTGTTGTATATCAAAAATTACTGCAATTCAACCACTAACAAAGACTCCAATCAACCATCAACTTATATAATTCAAAGAATAMTYAATGTAGGCCATTACTGGCTAACAAATTATGCATTACATAAATTTTGCTGAGGGCCCAACCATGTCTAAGACATTGATTACTACCAGCTAAAATGTGGGCTCCATATATATCCTATTATATTTTACTAAGATTACAAAGATTATGTATGATCATAATGATTAAATCCTCTCTTTTGTTCTAAGATTATGAAAAGTACTTTCCAAAGACAATTTTAATAGATTGAAATATTTGGAATGAATATTAATCACTCAAAATAAAGTACTGAACAGAAATTAGTAGGTTGGAGAGCATAGATTGCATGTATTCAAATAAAATCTTCCCCTTTAGGGGTGGGGATAAAAAAATCCTCCCTTTATTTCCTCTTTATCAGCTCTTCTCATCTTGTAATGGATGGTCACATGAGTAGAGTTTTTGCTGTCAAGTACATTCCTGAAGAAGATTACATCTTTGTCTCAGCTGGATGGGATGATACTATACAGGTACATATTGCTACAAACATACTTATCACTAAGT